CTGGCGAAGAGAGAGACTGAAAGGATGAAAGTGACGCGCACATTTTTGTGGGCGGCTAATTTTAAGCCTGTGAAAAGCGGCCCGTCCAGGGAAATCCACAGTGCAGTGTGGTGTGTTTGGGGAATTGTGTGTGTGTGTGGGAGGAGGGGGAACATTCCGGACAGCAAGCCCTGGGAATGTGGTCAGTTTGTCTGCAGGAATCTGATCACAAAGCCTTGTTGTGATTTTAATTCATTGTGTAGTTTGCAGGCACGTTTCTGTCTAGAGCTGTGATTTGCTATCGCTCTGTTAATTGAACTCCACTTTTACTTCTCTGCTTCTAGCTGCATTTCTCTCTCTCTGCTTCTGTTCCGTCCTCCTCTTTCTCCCGCCACGTCTTGCTGGCACACAGCTGCTCTGCCTGTCACCAGTGCTCGTTCGGCTGACAGGAAACGCAGGCTGGGGGCGCAGGAAGTGACCTCACAATGGCTGTCTTTATTGAGGAGTCTGGGCTCGAAGTCGGCAGCGCTGGATTTCCTCTTGGCACCACGGGCCCATTCCACATGTGCGCACAGACACAGGCGCACACATGCTCGGTTTTTCCACACTCATGAAAATGTGTTTTAATGATGGCAGCTGCGGTGCGACTGATTCTTCCCTGTGAAGACAGTCGAGTCAGTCAGTGAATGTACAGTTTCCAAAACGCTTCTAAACACTGCAGTAAACTTGTGAACTTCATCTCTTGGCTCCTTCTACAGAGACCCACTTAAGGGTTGCAGTCTTAATTAAAATACCAGTGGAAAAATCAGCATATTTTGCTTGGTTGAGTATCAGTGTATATGCAGTGCTTTCTCATTCTCCTTAGTTCTGCATTGCCAACGGTTTTCTCTGTGACCTTTCCAAGCCAGAGCTGTCAGCTGACGGTTGAAAATGACACACGAGTCAAGTCAGAGGTCATATTCGCGAGACAGTAGCACAGGCCTTGCTAGCAGAGCATCCCGGGGACCTGGGAAATCTTACGAGCTTAGAAATTCACACATGGCACTTGCAGACCACCAGACGGGACCCCTTTGCTTGGAGGAAATGATTGTGGCTCCTGGGGAGCATCAGTGAGAATTTGTGGCTCGCATTTCAGCTCTGCAGTTCCTGTTCCTGTCTGTACTACAGT